GCATAATAGATGTTGCCCATACTTGTGGATTGCTTTATTGTAATTTAAACTATGCTTACTTTTGCAACGGAAGCACAATCATTTTGACTATACCTGGAAAATTTGATATAGACAGTTTGCATGGATCTCGCTGGAAATGTCACGATAGATTAGCAAACGTGTACTCTAATGTGTTGCTATTATATGTCAATGGTAAGTAGAGTAAAATAATATATTTAGATATGTGGATATCTTACTCCAGAACTTTATTTAAGCTTTAGCCATTTGATTTTATTTTGCAGATATGACTTGGATAGTGTATAATCTTAGACTATGTGATCGATAATACTATTATCCTTACTTACAACTTGATTTTTAAACGAATCTCAACGTTTACTTCATATCTTAACTCATGATTATCTGATGTTTACCTATTATATTTTATCTTTCTCATGTCAATGCTGTTATATTTAATCTTATTTAACTTTTTACTTATAGTTGATGTGTTTCCCTCGGTTTTAGTTTGTGACCCGGATTTGTTTTCTCTCAATCGATTTATGACTTTTGAACAGTGGTATACTACTGTTGCCTTTTTTTTTTAAGTATAACAGTTTGATGTGGTTTTACAACTTCTAGGTCGATACCACTGCATGTGTCCCACAGTATTTAGCACTTTTGCGTTGGCATGAACTCTCATTGAAATGTTCTGTTGGTGTAAATTTACTGTTTATAAAAGGTTTAATAATTCGAAACACCAGGGTTTTTCTACCTTGGGTTTCATAAAGATTTAATTCGAGTGCCAAAAAAGAATCATACCTGAACGAAACGTGCGTCTAGCGTACACATGTATAACTTTGATGCGTTTGTTAATAATGTTAAATGTTTAATACAGAACATTGGTCTTTCAGTTGAAATCATTTGCAACTTATTCATACTAGTGCGAGTTAAAAACTTTCCTTACTGCGTATGCATTTTCTATGATTTATAACAATAGATGTCCCTATAAGTTGACTTCCTAGATAACTGTATGTTGAATTGATGTCTTACAGAAGGCTTTAACATTTTATCGATTTTAAAAAAAATTGCATGTCAGCCGATCATCGAGAGATGATCAAAAATTTTACTATCACAAATCCGTTTTGAATTGATTTTTTTCTTTGAACAGAAGTCAAATACCTTGACCTCTTTCATGTTTCAGAGAACAGTTTTAAGTTTTCATGCTTAGGTTAGCATCTGGGTTATTTTGGATATCATCACAAATTTATTCGTTCTATATAATTTTGGTAAGATAAATTCAGCTGCCTATTAAATGTCGTCAGACCTAGATCTATATGTCATGGTTCTTAAATCAAAATTGAGTTTTTGTGTTTAATTGGAGGTAACAGTAATTTATCGACGTTCAATTCCCATCAATCGATTTTGAAGATACAAATCATGGTAACTAAAAACAGAACATGAGGAAATTGTATGAATTGTAAAAAGAGCGACACCGATTGTGTCGATAGGCGTATGTTTATTTATACGCCGGCAAAATGTCACAATCAGTAATAGCACACAATCGGTAAAATTACAGATCTTATGACTATTGTGGTAACTAAATGTCTTAAAGTGCGTAAAATGGTGGCCAAAGAGTTTAAAACACATAAATATCCTCAGTCAGATGCTTGGTCTATTGAATAATTATGAATTGCATATGTCCGTCAAGCAGGAGTTACCTGACCTTCACCTCAATTTATTTGGGTGAACATCAAAGCTTGTTTTAGTGATTTTGTCAGTTTCCATCAGAACCAGGTCAACCGTATTTGGCCAATAGAAAAATTTTAAAGTATTCTTGGTTGTGGTTAGAGATCCCTTGACATGTATTTTGTTGCCATTTTTCAATATTTACGTTATGATTTGCGATTATATCCACTAGTAAATGAATTTTGGTTTCAAACGATCATTTTGATCTTAACATCATCTGAAAAGTCCACAATAGATTATTTAGGCACGTTCAATCTTTCAGTCAATGTTCGGACATATGAGGGTCATGACGAATAACGGTAACAAAATCTTTTTTAAATGACGTCGACGGTAATTTTTGATGCATGGTGATAAAATGTACATGTTCTTTGTGACGATAAAAAAAATCGACTGATTTTGACGAACCACGTTAAATTCATTCCAAAAATAACGGTAGCGGATAATCATTTGAGACCTCTGACGAATCACGATAAAGATATTTTGACAAATCACGATAACATTTTAAATAATTTGACGCTAACGGTAGCCAAAAATTACCGATTGACGCCTGACGGTAATGGGCATTCCTGCCCTCACATATCCACTGCGGTAAATTCAGTACTGTACAGATACTTTGCATTCAGTCAATTCAATACTGATCAAAAGCTTTTTAGACAATTCAGTATGATATAAATGTGTATAGATAATTACAAAAATAAGATATACAGCAACAAACAATAACCACATGATTACATGATAAGGACAGGCACATATAGCAGACTATGGCGGGTTAAACATGTTTACATCTAGTGGTGTAAGAGAATCAACATAAGAACAAAGTATAAAGATCAGTTGAAAGGGTTTAAGTTTGTAATATTGTCTACTATCGAAATAAACTTTACGATTTCAGCCATATTTTCGTATTAAAAGACTGTAATTTTGCACAAGGACTGCTAATAAACGCCACTACAGCTTCGTGGTCATTTACATGTTGGAGTTGTATTACCGCTCTTTGTTCTAGACGACACAATGTATGGAATTTATAATTTATAATGTTAGATGTCAAGGTAACAAGCTGTAGGAAGATAAATCACCCGACCCGGACTAATTATTCTGAATCCGAGCTTTCACTCCAAAATCTGTGCGTTTATAGAGAAGAAAATACACTGCAACAATTCAAGGCATTGTTTTATCTAGTCGGGGATCGAACCAAGGATCTCCTATATCCGAGGCAAGCAAATTTTTGCGATACCAACCAGGCGATTGTAGGGAGACATATACTATTAATTTAGTGCTTTGAGCACAGTCTCTTGCAGTAATTGTCATAGTTAATGTGTACATTTTTCATGTACTTAATAATTATGAATCGATAACCACAAGAACACGATTACACTGTATTACATCAGGCATTGTGTGTCGTAAGTTATTTTGGAGTAGATTTTTGTTTCACTAATCAATGTCCTTTGTCTTTGACATATTATGCATATCAAAATTGTTGGTAGAGTACAAAAGAATATATTGTTAAAGGCATTATACAACAAAATGGACAGGCGAAACATTAGTAAATATAAGATTAATAAAGCTTGTACGAAGAGGATTTTATTAGGCATTATAAATTGCATTACATTTATCAAACATTCTCGAGTTTGTAATCGAAATGTATAACAAAATGATTTCACTCTGAAGAAAAATAACAATGGAACTTCCACCAGAATGGTGTTCAAACTAAAAGGGAGTTTATTATTGACAGTCCCGTAAACAGCGTATAGTTTTGAGAGTATCGATCCATGTGTACTCGAACAAGTGCACGATATCTGATGATTACAGTCTGGTTGCTGTGGAACGACAAGCCGAAAAAAGTTTCAACATTAAAAAAATTATTTCTTTAAACGATTCAAGTGATTCATACAAATTTATTGAAATTTGTTTAAACATTGTCTATATTTTGTATCATGTGTGGACACACTGGTAGATAATGGATTACCACTAAACGTCCCGTATATGACAAAAACGCGTTCTAACAAGATGAATTATAAAACTATGATATTGTTTGCAGCATATTCGACACACATGTCGATGTTTTAAACAAATTAACATAGTCTTAGATTAAATGTTACAGTAAAAGTAAAACGTCCACTACTAGTACACGATAGTTCATGAACAGTGCTTATCTAAGCTCTCATAAAATTAGACAGCTATTTATCGCAATATACACCACTTCTGTGAGGGGTGTAAGCCCTTTGCAGCTATTTTATTCTTAAGATATTTTGAAAACTCCCAAAATTTGATGATTTTTAAATTAATGTCCTCTAAAAAAAAACTGCTTCTTTTTATCAAATTGTATAATGAGACTTAATCAAAACATAAGGTCAAAATTAAGGCTCCCACTCCTTCAAGACGCTGACTTTGAATCCTTTTTGGATCCGCAGTGGTTATATATCTCCCCAATTGTTCAAGTACTTATATATCCTTGACGTTTAAAATTGTGGGTTTGAACATTCATAGAAATGCTCTTTGTAAACATGGTAAAGTAAAATATTCACTTACTAGCACTTCTTGATTTAGCTGCTATCAGACGATTGTTCTTGTATGTATCATTAGATCAGCAATCAGTGTTTGAGTACTAACATAATTTATGACATGCAATTCCCGTTAAAATATTCGCAGGTGAATTAAAATATTATCAAGAAACTAAAAATCCAACTTCTTCAGAGAAAGGTAACCTTATATCAATATTGCAATTCTTTTCTATGTCATTTTGGATACATAACTACTAGCGTATTCAAGGACTTTAACAAACTTGGATTTCAAATTTTACTAATGGATAGTACCTTATGAGGGTAAACCAGCGCCCCGAACATATCAAACGCACCACATTTGCCAACGTGTTGTTTAAAATTTAGTAGTTTTGTATAAAAAAACAAAGACATGAACCATTTTGAAAAGACTATAAATGTATTATATCTTTGTTTTTTTTTATTACTTTTGATATGAAAAAAAAAAAAAACAAAAAAAAACCAATCGTATGTCTTTCAAACGGCTGGGGAAAAAATCAAAAAAATCGTAGTTTGAATTCGTCAAAATTGTTTTAGAATTCAAGCTCAATATAGACAACAACTTTTTCCCGATGTTTAAATCATATAAATCGATTCAGAAGAGAAAATCACAAATTAATATATGACAAATCAATTAAAAAATGCAAATTATGTATGAAAGCACACTTAATTCTGGTACAAAAACAACTTGTTTTGTGTATATGCTAACGATCCTACTTTTTATTTCTAAGTTCCAGTCACCAATATCGGTTTAACTGCTACTCCATATGATAAAAGCCCGGTAGAAATTTTGGCTGGTTTAAGTCAACACTTTACATGTACAGCTAACCCCGGCAGACCGCCATCAAAGATTCAGTGGTATCTGTCTGGTTCCAACATTACTAATGCTGCTACTGCTCAGCCTGATGTATGTAATCCTGGATGTAATGAAAAAGTGATGTCGTCAAGTGTCCTACTATATATCGGTAATATTAATGACAATGGGAAGACAATTTATTGCACAGCTGAAAATGTAGATGAACAGAGTGTCAGATCAATGGACCGAAGAATTGATATTTTGTGTATGTAGACATCATTCATCATTTTTACTGATTCGATTGATTGCAAAAATCAAGGTTTAAGAAACTCGTTCCCCATACAATGTGATGGTGACCCTAAACGAGAGATGTGATACAAGCGAAAACCTTAGCTGATGTATTATTTTATCATTTTAGAAACGGTTTCTTCTAACATAAAGTGTATATAAAAAAAGAGTGAAATTTAAACTTGTTAACCAATTGTTTTTCTTAGAAACCATCGTTTGATAAAACGTTGAAAAGACTATTACCTCTACGTCATATAGTCTCTATTTGATAGTTGATGCACTGGCAATCACACAATATCTTCTTATCTTTATTCTAACTAAATTACAAAAGAAGACAAAATAAAAATATATTGAAAACTTTCGCTAGTTAGAAAATTTTGAGTCATACATTAATAATCAATATTGCATTATCAACGTTGGTAAAAGAATATTCAAATTTTCAATTTAAACAAAGCGTCCTTTTTTGGAGGAATAAAAGACTTCATGAATATAAGATATGTATTTTACCTTTTGATAGTAAAGGTCTCGAATTTCGCACTTGTATGATTTTCCTACATGAACACAATCTACTTTATAAAATGAAAACGATGTATTCTAACTGTCATTAGCGTCTCTTATATTGACATTTCTTTTTAAACAGTATGTGTATTACATATCATACTTTATACTCTTCTGAATTACTAGGCACGTTCTTTTGTTTTAGGTGGTATTGAACTATATCTCTGCCCATAGTTGTGCATGTAATATTAAAAAGCCTGTAACAATACGTTTTTAATACTCTTAAAAATAAAAAAATAAAAAATTGAAAAGATGTGGTATAATATCCAATGAAATTTCTATCAGACAAAGACCAAATGTACAGATTTTAGTAACTATGCACAATACCCATAACGTAAAGCAAGCAAATGTCCATTTAAGTTTTATTCTGAGACTCGTAACTATAATATTATAGTAGAAATGTTTTCATTTATTATACAAAATACATTATTGCAGATCCACCTGTTATCTTCAATATACCAGATTACACCATCACAGAAGGGAGTATTCTACACATAACTCCTACTATTGATGCCAATCCTCAACCTTTATCTGTTTGGTGGACTCGTCAAAATGACACCAGTTACACATATACTGGCATGAATCTTACAATCAATAATATACAGAGAGAATCCAGTGATTACTACATATGTAATGCAATGAACACGATAACAACATCAAGCCATTCAACTCAGAACAGAACAACAGAAAAATTATTTAAAGTCAATGTACTATGTAAGTAAAAATCTACGATAAGACACATTAACATATTCGATATTTGGAATATCATTTTATATCATGTTGTTATCAATATAACTTATGCGACTGTTATACAAGTAAGAGGTTTAGCTAGCTATCATAACATTTTTAATCCACCATTTTCTACATACGGAAATGCCTGAACCAAGTCATGAATATTACATTTGTTTTCTTTGGAGTTCGGTATTTTTTGTTATTTCACCTTTTACCGATGTTCAAATAATATAAATAGCTTAGGAAGATAAAAAAAAAAGTGACACACAAAAAAAAAACAACAAAAAAAACCCCCGAGGGAATGCCATGAACTCCAAAATCAGAGAGACTACGTGCGTCGTCTGGTAAAGCGTCTCCTGTTATGTATGCATCCTCTGAATAAGAATCCATACTCTGTCAAAATGTCACAATTGGGAATAGAAAGGAGTAATTCGATATGGTAATAGATCCGACTACCATACTTAAGATGTAAAATTAAGAGCAACCTTGTTAATAAAGTTCGTTTTGTGAGATCATGCACTAACGTAACGTATTAATTAAAAATGTAAATGTAATAGAATAGGGAAGAGGTGGGTTATTGCTGACGTTTGAAAAGTTGAAAATAAAACATTTGTTATAGATTTTAGCTTGAAGTTGTCAATCTGTGTCAATATCGGGAAAACGATTAGGTTATAAAGTAGACCTACTGTTTTCGGTAGTGTTCTTGTCGATAATTCAATGGGTGATCTGTGTGATGCAAGCACTCATTGAATGTTATTGAGTGACATGACATCATCAATATATCTGAAAGTAAAATTAAAGAACTTTGGCAGATTTCGATTTTTTCTTTTTGAGATGGTTTCATATCTTGTTTCATATGAGTACACAAAACAAGCTGCCCAATAGTGGTAACAAAGTACTCATTAGAATACTGAATGTCTGTTGAAATAACAATTCATTAAAGTCAACAAATGTTTTGTCGATCAAAGTCCAACAGTTTGATGAGACAATCTTCTGTGCATTTGTTGTTGCTTTTTAAATATACCTTTTCACAATAATTCTGAATACTTTTCTTAACTGTAGAAATAGTATTTGTAAAAAAAAGAAAGATTTATAGTGTAACATTTTGACGATCCTGTAATACTTTTCCTTTAAAAATAATTTTGTGAAGTTGAGGTATCCAGTATTAAGACGGAAGTTTCATCGTCCTGTTTATGCTAACCCAACAAAAGAGAAGGACGAATTTGGGAGTTTATAAAATCGGTTCTTTTGTGCATGATGAAGTAACAAAATTAATGATACCGATTTTACTGCACCAGATGCGCATTTCGACAATAAAAGTCTCTTCCGTTATGCTCGAGTCCAAAATATTTGAAAATATAAACCTTATTAAAACATTGAAGAGCTGATAAAACCAAACAGGACAAAAATATAGCAAAAGTCGAACAAGGAATCAGAGCTTTACATATCGGAGACCTATTCCTTCATTACTGTGACTTGACTGTAAATGTTGCTCTCCTCCTATTGCAATTTATATAAAATTCTGACCAAATTGCATATGTTTTATAAAACCAAACTGTTCAACTGGTCAGAAATTTAAACAAACCGCTATAGAAAACCATAGTCAAGTCGTGAAAGTGTAACGTGATAAAATAAAGCATACCTACAATCATATAAGACTTTAATTCCACTTTAATGAGATTATGAAAAATCCGTCTAACAATTTATATACAAATTTTATTGTAATAATTGTCATGCTAAAGGTGATAGGTAGTAATTTTGAATTGCTATAGAAATGTCTAAAACTAAGTTTTCGTACAATTATTCTTTCGAAAAAGTCCTCTATATTCATAAGAATCAGACATCATTTGATCTAAAACATCTTATATTTAGTAAAATATATTTGAAATTACAATACGTTGTTAATAAGTTTCCATGGGAGATTACCTAAAATCATTATTGTTTTGAATATAGAAGACTTTTCGAAAGAAAAATTGATTATCTCCCATGAAAACTTCCTAACAACGTATTGTAATTTCACATATATTTTACTGAATATAAGATGTTTTAATTCAAATGCCAAAGCCGGGCAAGAAATTAGAGGTTTGCATGAGGAATAAACATTCTTTAATTAAAATAATTTTAAAAAGTGTATGTAGGGGAATATAGGGAGTTCCTAGTTCAGCTGTGCTTTCAAATGTCTTTATAATACAGAATAGTTCATTTTTTTCAGTTTTAAACCTTTTCTTATGTTTGATCAATTTTAGATCCACCTTCAGTTTATATGGAACCTATGTATAGTCCATTCATTGTGCATGAAGACCAACAGAACATCAGATTATCATGTGTAGTAGCTAAAGCTAATCCTAAAGATGCTATAATGTACCAATGGACTTATCCTGCTGGTATCGTAAGAGATGGAGATCTTACCATAACCACTGTCTCAAAGAGTCACTACGGACTGTATACGTGTACCGCTTCAAATTCGGTTGGTACATCAACATTTACGACGAAACAAATAGATGTACATTGTAAGTTTATAAATGTGGAGAAAAAGGTCATTTTCGAGTAAATAATACAAAAACACACTTTATAAATTTCCTGCTTCCAAAGCGCCATCCTGGATTGAGATTTGCACACCCAGGTTTTGCATGTACCATTTTACTATTCTAGATTATCTGTTTATCGTCCTTGTGTAAAATTATCTCAAGGGTAAATGTGTGTATTATCTCTTGTTCCGAATTATATTATAGGCAGGACGATAATAATTTTTAAGGAAGTAATTTATTTTATTAGACAGTGTTTTGTGCGACAAATAGATTTTAAACATTACAAACAATTGTTCTTTCATATGCATGCATATTAGAAAAAAAACCCATATGATTCTTATAATAGAAAAACAAAAGGATATGGGGTATCCATCTATGACACAAAATCAGTACATGCATAGATATTAAAAAACATACGATGCAAAATTGCAATAAATGTTTATAATCCTAGTTTACAATTTCAGATGAACCTGTAATTGATGGAATTCAGGATTATAACATTGAAGCAGGCAAAACACTCACGGTTACTCCTACAATAGATGCTAATCCTGCACCTACAGCTATATGGTGGACTCGTGAGAATGATATCAGCTTCATTTATCATGGACTAAATCTTAAAATCACCAATATTCATAAACGGGACAGTAATAACTATACATGTCATGTAATGAACACTTTAACACCATCTGGGTTGTCTGCGCAGAACATAACTTCAATTACAGTTTTTAACATTAATGTACAAAGTAAGTAAACAATTCTGATGCACGAGGAGGAGAACGTTTACCTTCTGTATCCTTTAGACTTTATTCAATAAAGGACTCATTGGCAATTTTACTACATCTCCTTACATTACATTATCAGTCTTGTCATAAATATCGTATACCTTTAACTTTATGTTTCACATGCATGGACATATATAACACTCAATTGCAACGAAGTAACAATAAAATTGGATCTTTTTATTTCCCTCATTTTGATTATGTTTTGGAAGTTTTGATCTCCAGCTATCTGACTTTCCATTTCGGTTAGTGTTTGCATCTCATATTTCCCACCAAACTTTGGAGATTTATGATACTACCAAAACTAGAAGGTCTGCATCATGTCTTGGTCTTTTCTACGATATAGATACACGGACGCAATCAAACTAGAATGATTATTTCTACTTACTAATTGTGAACATTCTATTTCATTTATATGTACGTTTTTCCCATGGCTTTAACATAATTCAGTTTGAACGTAACGCCCGTGAATGTGCACGCTATACCGAATGAATCAGGAGTTCTTTTATAACACTATCATTATGTTCATTAAAATCATCACTTCAACTTTATGTTTCACATACATGAACATATATAGCACTCAATTTCATCGAGTAAAACAATAACATTGATCTGTTGATTATCCTTATTTTGAAATCGCTTTGGAACGTTTGATCTCCAGTTATTTGTCATTCCAAATTTTGGTGATTTTTTGCATCTCATATATCCCACCGAACTTGAGATTTAGGATACTACCGAAACTAGAAGGACTGTGTCATATTTTGATCTTTAATGCGATATTTTACATCCTATTTCCTCTATATTTACGCTTTTCCCATGGCATTAACAAGAGTCAATTTGAACGTTATGCCCGTGAATGGGCACGCTATACCAAATTTATTAGCAGTTTTGTATTTACACAAACATTTCTCCAATAGAGTAACGAGGAATAACGGCTAAAAACACATAAGTCTTACTGGTACCATTATCAATTGGTTGACCGATACGATATGTCCGAGTCTCGACTCACTTATGACAGATTTTCTCACTCTCAGATAATAGATTAGTTGTTATATCTGTAACTTTTACCAATTGTTTCAGTCTATGATTGTTACCTCAACTTACCTAGATGTTTTTTTTCCAAAACACCAAAGGCTTTTCTTCCCAAAAGCGCTGATGGGCTATTATTGGAATTTTTAGGTTTCCAAGGCTTTTCAAATTCTAAATTGATTTGGATTTTAAACTGTTTTATGTTGAGCGCAACTTAAAATTGAAGAAGTAATTAAATTATGAGCTTAGTATTTTTTGATGAAGTTTATCATGCAGATCAAAGCTTTAGTATGTACTTGCTTTCCCGAAAAATGTAATATGAGAATTTAAGCTTAATGTATAGAAGATAACGAGAACGACAATATCGTGTTTACTTCATTTCCTTTTCATTTTTAAAAATTATCTATTTAAAATTCAAGTTCAATTATTTTAGAGATTTCCAATGAAGAATCAGTAAACGGTGCTGCGGTCGGTGTAGGAATGGGATTCACTGTTATCCTATTGACATTAGGAGTTACCAGTCTAATCATTCTTCTGTACAGAAAACGTCGAATCATAGAGAGAAAAGGTAAACAAAATTGTAATATTTCAATGAACGAATTTTCATGTTTTCTGTTGGCTTTTTGGTAAAATTATAATCTTAAAGTGTCTATAACATTTAATAAATTCCTTGATAAAAAAATGTTGTACTGGTTAATATTTCGTTAAAATTGTAGTACAAAGAGTGTATAAAATATAACAAAATCAAAGTAATCACAAAAGTTTGAATAGCTTTTAAAGGATGGCAACATGTATGCAATTCATCCATTGTGTTGTGTGGCATTTAAATCATTAATTTTTTTGTTTTGCTATTTAATCAGTGCTTGTCTTTTAGTCTTCTGTGCTTTGTAATTGTATCATCTGTCTTCAATAACAAAATCATTATATGCAAAGAGTCAAACTAGAAAATATAACAAACGTGATGATTTTAACTGTCCAGTTGTCAACTTGAATTCCTCAGCAGTAAAAAATATTTTCTGTCCCATCGTATGACATATACATATCTTAACGAATAAGCTACGCTCGTGCATAATAAAGATGACCAGTATATTGATATTGACGAACGAACATAGCTGGACGAACGAACGTAATAGGAGCGGTAATTGTATGTTTACAAAACTTAGTTTAACCTTAAAGATGTTATTATTTGGATGGCATGTAATCATGAAAATAGATAGAAACACATGAAATATACCGATTTTAAAAAGGTTTTCATGATATAAATGAAAGACGTTTAAAAGTTTCCGCTAGTGTTATATATCTTACGATACACTGTGGTTACAGTCCGTGTAACGTAAAAGTTAACAATACGAACGATACCCGAATCATGTACGGACGATGCCCGAACGATGTACGTACGCTTCCCGAACGGTGTACGAATGCAAACGAAACGCTGACCGAACGTTGTACGAACGCTGGACGAATGATGTACGAACGAAACCATGTACCATAAACCATACCATAAACGATACCATAAGCACCCTTTTATCGTACATCGTATGGTTTTGCGTAAATCTTTTCGTTTAGCGTATATCGTATCGTTTAGCGTGTATCGTATCGTTTAGCGTACATCGTTTCGTTTAGCGTATATCGTATCGTTTAGCGTACATCGTTTCTTGGCATACATGTAGGACTCAAATCTATGGTGGGTTCCAAATCTATGGCGGATTCCTAATCTATGGTAAATATGACGTCATGCCATCCCAAATCTATGGCAAAAAATTTACACTCCTAATCTATGGCAAGTTTTTTTAAATTTTCTAATTATGACGTCATGCCATCCCAAATCTATGGCAGATTTTTTACAACCCAAATCTATGGCAAATTTTGTAATTTCCAAATCTATGGCGGATTTTTGTTGATTTAAAATCTATGGCAAATGTCGTGCAAATGGAAAACAATGCAGTATATACGACCAATGACTTGTCTAAAACAAATGGAGATAAATGACAACGTAAGAGTGTGTATAAACACTAGTGAAATAAACATGTTATAGCTGACTATGCAGTATGGGCATTGCTCGTTGTTGAAGGCGGAACGGTGACCTATAGTTGTTAATTTCTGTGTTTGGTCTCTTGTGGTGATTTGTCTCATAGCAATCATACATGTCATACCACAACTTCTTTTGTATATTGTATAAATTATAAACCACATCATGACAGTAACCAAATTTATAAATGATCAATTTAAAAAGCTTAATAAAGACTTCATGATCTTGAAATGATGTGTCCCGTAAACATAAGCATTTTCTACTCTGTGCATGGTCATGTTTAACCGACACATTAACCAAATAGTAAGTCATTAAACAACAAGAAAGCAGTTTCTGTTTGTAAAAAAAATAAACACTTTGACTCTTCACATGCTATTTATTTTCTCCTGATCACATCTTTTTAATTTGATGACGATTTAAATCAAATTTGTATCCTGTAATTTGATCTGTCACTTTATACACTTTTCCAGCAGTAGACGCTGAAATTGAGTCTATGACCCCTTTCCTGAAATATCCTGTACTGAAAACTGCGGTGCCTTTGTTCATCGCAGGATTCGGTCTGTACATCACATTTTGTCCCTCTTCCGGATAGTAGGTAATGTCTTCCCTCAAACCATCGGAAAACTGCTCTAGTGGAAAAGCTGAAATTGTTTCCCGGTGAATTTGTTTATAAAAATCGGTGAGTCCAGTGTTAAATACCGGTAACGTTTTTTGATTTACATTCTACAAAAAAAAATAGTCTATAAGTATAAACAAAAAGTATATGTTGGCTGAGTGAAATCAAATCTAAATCATCTAGATAGATATACGAAGATGTGGTATGAGTGCCAATGAGGCAACTCTCCATCCAAGTCACAATTTGTAAAATTAAACTATTATAGGTTACAGTACGGTTTTTCACACCGAACAGCAAGCTATAAAGGGCCCCAAAAATGACTAGTGTAAAACCATCAAACGGGAAAGCCAACGCGGTTTACTTATTTTTAGGTTAAAAAAATATATGCAAAGTGTAGCAGTTTTAAAATAAAGTTGATATACTAGTAATAACCGTACAAAGCAAACTAAAATTCAACTTTTACATTTTGCATTTGAATGGTTCAGCATTATTAAAAGTCTTATACATGTACATGTATACGTGCAGTCGCAACACTTTTAAAGATTTCTATCAAATGCATCAAATTTTATGTTATATAGGACAATATTTTAAAAAGTACATCATACAGTTACAAACCTATTCTATACAACAGTATGTAAACAAAATTATTACATATTACGCTTACATAACGAGCAACAAACTACTAAGGCACAAAGTTTAAAATATAGGATATTTAAAGACAAATCCCAACAAAATCACATACCTGTGGATGAACTGGTACATTTTCTTTATTTTGCTCATTATAAAACTTTCTCTGATACATTTGTTTGTAGTATGGACTAACATTTTCCTACAAAAAAATAAACAGAATATTTCGTGTTATTTTGTGCACAATTTATCACTTAATATTTCACTGAACAAATAATACATTAATACACATGTAAAAATATTCGTCTAATCTGTAGGTTATACGGAAACTCATACAACAATAGGTTTTTCTATTTAAAAAATAAGATATTTATGTATTGGTTAGGAACAAGTACGTACTCTTAAGATCTAATGTGTTGGTTTTCTTTCTTCTTCTTTTTTTTGGCGTGTGTTGAAAATTATAAACAAAGTAATGCACAAGGCTTAACATACTTACTTGCAAAATAACAGTTTGTGAAAATGATGGTTCGGGCACTACAAAATCATTTTCCTGGGTACAATCTGGAGGTAAATTGCCATGTTCTTCATTTACGCCATGGTCTGCAAAATAAAAACAAAAACTAATTAATTAATTTACAGTTAAATATAGCTAAGCATATGTTAAATTTGCATTTATTTTTATCACATGTAAAACAAGTAATTGTATTCATTTTTAGAATTAAATGTATAATTTAAATTTGTGTACTTTTATTAGTTTTAAATAATGATTGATTGTTTGTTGGTTGCTTAACGTCCAGTGGCAAATATTTCATGCATGTTCAGGACGATAGCTTTAAGTAAAAAGTTCATGCATATGTGTTTAAATCTTACCATGTAAAGTGAGTTCCTCTTCATTATGATTTGTACTGGCGAATTGGTTTCCACCTGAAGCCTCAGTTAAGGATGAGTGTAGCACATCAACAGATACTTCTGGGAGTTCTTCCTCTGACTCATTTTCATCAACATCTAATTCGGCGTGCTTTAAAAAGTCTCGTTCTTCTTTAGTAAGAGAAGCATAAGGTACCTATAAATACAAAGGAATGTTGAAAAGAAGATGCTCTTTTTATAATAAAAAATAATTTTCAATTTCTTTGGTGTGAAAAAAACCGTTGTTTTGTTGGTTTGTCTTTATTTCCTGACATTCGGCAAGTTATAATTTTTAAATAAATCTATAATGTAAAAATCTATCTCAACCGCAAGTTAAAAAACAAATACTGATATGAATAATAACCCTAATCAAATTTTTCTTAAGACACGTCTCAGGATAGCTTATTTACACAGACTAGACTGCATATTCTTACAACTTAAGTCACTAGACGGCACATTGTCACGGTAAGAGACTTAACATTGACACAGCCTACGGCTAAAAATAGTACATTTGCAAACTAAGGCGCTATAGTGCACATGACACATTCTATGGTACTTGAATGCACATTGACACAGCCAACATCCCTAAACGGCACATTGACAGCCTACGGCCCTAGACGGCACATTGACATAGCCTACGGATCTAGACGGCTAATTGACACAGCATACTGCCGTAGCCAGCTTATTGACACATCCTACGGTCCTAGACGACTTATTGACACAGAATAGCTGTAACATAAAGTAAGAATACTACTATAAATGACCTAATTACTAAGATTTTTTTTATAACACAAAGACTCAATTTTTAATTTCCGAAATAATAATTTAAATAAAATTAACGAAGTAAAGTAAATACCTGATCATCAAGCGGCACAGCAAAATTTGGTCGACTAAAAAATAGCTGATATGGAGTCTTTGGACGTGTGGCCTTGTTTAGCCTGTTGTTATATGCGTAATAAAATTCAGGAAGTTGATCGGACCAGTCTGAACGTTCTGACATTTTAATTCTAAAATACTCAGTCAGTGTGCGATTAAAACGTTCCACTCTGCCCTGACTTTGTGGGTGGTATGGTCTACCATGCATTTGGACTGTGTCAAATTGTATTACAACTTCTTTAAGATGCGAGTTCCGGAATTCTTTTCCATTGTCAGACTGTAGAATACGTGGAGCTCCATATAGATAAATGTAACTGAGTACAACTTTGCTTATTTCAGTAGCACTTTTAGTTTTACATGCTTGGCCAAATGCAAATCTTGAAAAACAATCAACGATATTACATATGTACTGATATCCTTTATGAGGTGGCATCTTTTTTAGGTCAATTTGCCATCTTGAATTTGGATAAGTTGCTGGTATTGGGCGTCTTGTTCTTTCTGTTTTTGGTAGAGA